CCCCACTAGCGGCCCTCCATTGCCTAGAAATATAATTGTTGTTTTTGGGTATCTGCCTGTCGTTACCGCGAGGGGATACTACGAACAGGTAAGGACCCCGGAAAAGAGAAATTTTTAATCGAGTCGGGGGCCTTTGAGACAGGAAACGGGCGAACCCGACAACCTGCCTACAGAGAGACGCGACCAGCCCAGCCCCGAGTCCCCGTTGGCCAAGGAATAATATTGAACAACACACAGGACCTTTTTCCTCACCAATCTTTTCCCCACGCCTCCGGGGCGGCCTTTCCACACGTCAACCCGAAAGGTCTATTCCTGTGGAAAGTGGCAGAACGCAAGTCAGCGTGGGGTGGGTTCTCCTCGGCCGAGTCCGAGACGCTGGCTCCGGAGCAAAGTAGCTTCTGCCGCGGTTGAGAGAAGGACGTGTGATTTTGAGCCCCTTCAAAACAGGGGAAAGGCGCCGTCACTCTCTGGCATATTACTCTTACTATCGCGCTTATCTCCTTCAGAAAGAACCCAAGATATGGTGGTCACAGCAGCTGCCCGCCGACACAATAGATGAAGGCCGCCCAAGAGCATGCGCCCTTGGGGGGCCCGACTGCTCACCATCGGCCTTCGAGCGCTGCCCAAGGTGTGATAACCTGATCACATCTTGGTTGTGTTTACGACTCGATTGCCAATAAACAAATATTGCCTAGGTACTAGAGATGTCGTCACCCTGCAATAGTGGCTAGGTAGCTTATCGCAGTCAGACAAAGTCGTTCCGCTGGGCCTTAAATACAGTTATAATCAATCCCACGGCAGCGTCGCTCATGGTCGTAACTCATAAAGACTCTTTGCTCAACGACTACCATTACCTACCATAGCTCTTAGCAAAGCTCGGTCGTTGTCCCTGAACTGGCTAGGCCAGTTGGGGCCTCTGAACTTGCTGTCATCGGAGCAGATATCTTATCCGGTATCAATGAAATCCGGATCATTACCTCCAGGTCGTATGGAGTATTGGACAGTTTATTGTCAGTGTCCAGGACGTCAGCCGTTAACGCCTTACTCGTAAACTGAATAAATATTAGAATGAAGTTCGAGAAGGAAGCATAGCGGTAATTGCACACTGACATTGGGTGGTCCATTAAGTATCCAGACCATCACAAAACGCCGGGGTCGGCTGTGAGCACGACCATGAGAGTATTACCATTCCAACCGTGATCCATTGAGGCATCTCATTCGGACGGAGGGTTATTGCCGATGAACCACTCATCTCGATCGTCAAAGTGGCACGATTCGTACAGCTCAGTGCGAAAGTATTACCGTTGCAATACCGTTCAAAGCCGAGGTATCTCACTCATACTCATTACGACTCGGACTCCTCTCAAAAGTCAAAGTGTTCGAAATCGCAAACCTGAAATGTATATGGGTCAGCCTATTGTGTAGTGCGCCAATAGAATCGATAACTCACTGCAAAGGCATCTAAGCATACCAAACGCCCCAACCATGTGCGTATCTATGCTTTTGAATACCAACTAGACTGGGCGGTGACTGCCGAGTCTCTTGAAAAATGTACATGAAACAAGGAACCGTTTCGTTCATGCCGTCGTTAATTTGCTTAACTCCCAGTAAGGCCTTTTAAATGTCCTGCCCAGGACAATATTCGTCACTTCATGACTCAAGGTGGGCCTTTCTGTATTCGATGTCATGCCCAGGACAAACGCCGAGTGCCTCTAACCTAGACTCCACGACTCCGTAAGGTAGTTTAACGGTCATACCTAGGACCATCATGTCGCGAACCAACTCAGATTCCACGACCCATTGAGGCCTTTTACAGTCACTGCCCAGGACCACGCGCCGTCACATTCACAATGTATAACGCCCTCAAAGCCGGAGGGGCATCGTTGGTATTCTGGGAGGCGCGAGAAGCAGGCCAGGCTTGCTTGCTTGCTATTTATGTTTCGACCAGTCCATGAAAACTACGGCAAAGTATGTTAGCCCAAGCTGAAAAGTTGCCTTAACTCTAGTTCACCAAACATACAAGTGAATTCAGACGCAGAAATGGTGTATCCGGCCATAACATGTGGACTCGTTTGGGGTGTTAGTTGTATGACGTTCCGGAATGTCTCCACGATTGTGGAGCCATTGTAGCTGTCAGGACGTGTCTAGCCCCTGATCAGGGTATGTAGAGATGAATGAAGGTAGGCCTTCTTCATCGTGGCGAAGAGAGGGCTGAGGCAAGAATCAACTTATGGTGGCATGATCTCAAGAAAGTTGCGGCAGTATCGACCTAGCAACAATAAAAGGTTGATTCTACTTGTAAGATAGAGATGAGCCATCCCCGAAAGGAGAGAAGCTGGTCAGGGTAAAGCTCCTTATCTATCGGAGTGAGGGGCGTCTGCTCACGAGCAGGTATGATAATGAGGGATAGATGGAGAATCGGGGAGTCAGGTAGGCGATTTCCACAGAGGCTTATGGAGGCGGGTACAGACCCACTGATGGAGATGTAATCTCGGAGCCTTAGATTATCCGATCGCAGATGTTACCTACTTTGTACTAGTCTCTACCTTAGTTAGGTAGGTACTCAGGTATGTACTTAGCCTACCGAGCTACTAGATACCTCCATGCAGGCGCATATGCGCCCCAAAAAGTATGTACTGAGAACCTACCAGGATAACAACATGTCGTGCAATGAAAGCATACATGTAGCAAACATCACACTCAGTACTGTCGAAAATGATTTTCTTTGATAATTCGCAGGTATAGGGAAAGCCCAGCTTGCTCGTATTTCGAAACGTAAGTGAAGCTCACTGGTAGTATCACCAAGTACACAGATCAGTACCTAACCTACTGCCAATTGGCGAGAGTCGTGTCATGCTCCTTTAGACCAGTCAACCTGACCGTTTCCTTCCACACCAGTTCACTCTTTGTAGGATCCCTCGATTCCTCGCTCGTCTCAAGTATTACTCTGCCGTCGAAGTAGCTGTCCTTTGGTAACTGCCCTTCCTCACCGACCCCGAATGCTGCCTCTAGAACATCACCCGCAGAGCGGCTCGTTGGCCTGACGGGCCCATCCGGGTTCATGTACAATATGAGCGGATAGACGATCTGAAATAGGAATACACGGATAAACCACGGTGCAAGCCGCTGTAGACCACTAATCATGGTGCCCGGGTCGACGCCGAGAACACAGATTCTGCTGAGCGCTGGCTCGGCATCTAGTCTGGCCTGTAGCTCGTGCTGCATCATTATCAAGAATAGCTTGGCAGCACCATACCGGCGGAAGCCGCCCCGAAAGGTCGAGTCTTCGGTGGCGGGGCTCCACGTTCCTTTGGCTATGGCCTCGAAGCTAGCCGTATCAGAGATAAATGTTTTATATTTTGGATCTTCGAAAGCCTTGGTACGCATGTTTCGTGGGTCGTTCGGACTGATAAATTACGTTGTTCGTTAGCCCCGATGTTTCACCCAAGCTATGTTAACTATCCATTTACTCGTCCGAGCGCATAGAGTTATGATTGTGAGATCATTGATGGGTTAGGACAATCGCCAGGCTGAATTTGACACTCACTCGTGGCTCTGGCTTCCAATAACGATGATTCGGCCGGCTTCCTTATCCATGCTTTCGAGCAAGAGGAGGGTGAGCAACCAATGCCCGAGATAATTTGCTGCAAAGGTAGTGTCAAGCCCGTCGCTCGTCCATGACTGCATGCCGAAGTCTTGGAAGCCCGCGTTAAGGATCAAGGCACGGATTGGCGGGATTTCACCTGCGGAAACGCGGACCTAAGGTAAATCTTGTAAGCTGGAGGCTATGATAGTGCTTATAACATCCGCGAATGAGTAGCAAAAGATGTAAATTTCCAAGGGCTGGGGAGACGTAAACGAGGAAAAGAAGGTCATAAATATAGTAGCAGCTGAGCTCAGAGTACTCACCTTGATCCCTTCGGCTACTGAGCGCACATTATCAAGATTCGTCAGATCAAGGCCCAGTATGTCATGAACGTGTGCCGGTCCGTGCTTAAGTGCAGAAGTGAGAGCAGGCGCTTGAGTTGTGTCACGAACGGTGTAGAGCCCATAGTAGGCCGACAGTTCAGCCTTCGAGACAATCTGCTCGACTATAGCGCTGCCGAGCCCGCCGTTAGCACCCGTAACGAGGATAGCCCCTTTGGCGGTATCAGTAGTCATCGCTTTCTTTCCTTTTTTCTTTCCTTTTTCTTTCTCTTCCTTTTTCCCGCTGTCAGACTATCGACTGTCCTTCTGAATGAGATAAGAGGTGAAGTGAAAAAGATACATCAACAATAGAAGGTGGAACAGCAGAGAGATGGTGAGTCTATCGAGGAAGGCATTCCTACGCTTCCGAGTTCACAGTTTGATTACGCAATTGTATCTGACATCTACAGTAGTCTGCCGTATCACGACTTGATGTTAGCTGCGGCTTGTTGGACCGCGCAGCAGCATCCATGTAGTGTAAACCCTGTCGATGGATTGCTAGCGTTCTTTCATTACGTATGCTGCCGGTCGGCGGTAAGCTTGTCTTGTCTTCGCTCACTAACAACTTCCACAAAGCCTTCTGCAAAATGGTCACTGTTTCGAGGGTCATAGGTACTTGAATATTTATCAGTGATGAACACGTAAGAACCAGCAGTACCACGAGCACCCATCCTGCATATAATATAGATTATTAAAATCTCTATGCTACAGTATTAGTGCTTGTTTATCAGCATATAACTTCGTTTGAAATAGTGGGTTTTATAAATTTCACATCAAGCCTTTTTAGGAGCGTCTCTATCAAGGTGCTCACAGAGAACCGCGTCAAAAAACCACCTGCCCTTCGGTCTCGTCACCGCCGAACGACTGCTAAGACGAGCTGCGCTTGAAGTTATTTATGCCCACCTATCATCATCCCAGCAGTTCTCCGTCAATCACTGTCCTCTGTTTCGATCGAATCCAAAACTCAAAGTCTAGCACAGTCTTCCCTGATGTCTTGACCTGACTTTGGGACTCGAATTAGCCGAAGTTGCAGCGGCAAGATGGCCGAGTTGGTTATGGCGTGAGGTTAAGGCTTCACCTTAGCACGAATTCCTCATGGAGCAATCCGCGTGGGTTCAAGTCCCACTCTTGTCAGCAGTTAAGTTCAATCTTTTTTTATTTTTTTCTCTTTTATTTTATATCTTCGAAAGAACCTGGCGCATAGCGTTGTCGGACAGACCCGTATTGTTTTAGGAGGCCGACAGACGCTCGTTATAACCAAAGGTAACAAGTGGCTCACCTACATGCCCTCGCTTTCGACACTTAATATGACAATGTGATATGAAGCGACAACACGGGCGTAGCGAGTACATGAAAGGGGCATGCTGGTTGGCACGTGAAATCGAGGCATAAATGCTACAAACATCGAGGCGAGAATTATGATCGAGTTCGAAGACGCTTCATAGGTCAAAGTTTAAAGGAGGGTATCTAGCTGTATCCCAAATCCACCAACTACAAAGTATTGAAATCCAAAAAAAAGAAAAAAAAAGAAAAAGGAAAAGAAAGTGATCATAAAGGTCCATCCCGCCGTCAACGCCGCCAAATCTCACCGATTCGAGTGCATTTAAAGTTTTACCACTGTCAACTACCAAGGTTGCTCATACGATCTGACTGTATGACGCAGCATCTTCTATCCAAGGGGAATTGGTTTCGGTGCTCATTTCCATCGGGTTGTCATCTCTTCTCTTAAACCGGTACACCGCCACCTTCATCACTAAACGGCGTAGACTCTGATATCGATAATAGCGAACCAGCTCGATAGAACGACTCCTTAAATGTCTCGTTTATGTTCTTGGCCGATGCGGAGGTCGAAGCTTCGGCGGCCGGGGTTCTTGGAAAGAACAGGCTATGAGGCCGCTGAGGCTTCTTGCCTTTATCCTTGGGTCCCTGGGAAGCCGTGGGCCGTGAAGATAAATCTTCCTCTGGGAGATTGCAGTCTGATGCGTGAGTATTGTCCTTGTCGACATTGCCTAGAATGGGAACTCAGTAATCGTACTAGGAAGAGAAGGGGGAAGGGCTTGGAGGTGTTCGACTAGCGATGGTGAGGACTTACGCTCGCTCTCTGCATTTATGACTGTTGAGCATTAGCGATTGCACCTGGTATTACAGAGAAATAGGGAAATAGAGCCCCAGTGACGCACCTCTAATGGCGAATTTGCGGAAGATCTCGGGCTCCGAGACAATCATGTGCCACTCTTCGGCGAAATGGTTCAGAGCGAGCCCGTCCTTGAACGGATGAGACGTGAAGACTGTACCCTCGTCTTGTCCGAGGCCCTTCCTGCATTTAAGCAGGTTACAGCGGAGGACGTAGAACCCAGTGTGGCCACCGTAACTGAAGATGCACTCCTTCTCTTCCACTTCGCAGAGAAACATGTTTCTCTTGATAGGCTTCCAGAGACCAGGGGTCTTGAAATTAGTCTGGCAACATTAGCTGGCAATAAAAAACCTTTGGCAATCTGGATATACTTACTTGAGATGTCCTTTTGGCCCTCTTTTTAGGTGATGTACTCTCCGGTTCTTCAGCAACCAAGGGTCTTTTTTCAGAAGATCTCTCAGATGATTCTATTGTAGGGGAACCTGTCTCGATGACTATAGTAGGTTCTTCGATTTTCGCGACGGAGAATACTTCCGGAGCGAATGTGACAGAGCGGCCCCGGGTGTCATTGTCGAGGATAGGACTACCGGCCACAGACACATCTGCTGCGCCTTCAGGCGTTGGCGTATTTTCTCTCGCGAAGGGCTGCGGGGTCTCTATCGACGCCGAGGAGGGAGCCAAGGGTGTATTATTACGAGAGGACGAAGGTGAACCTCTCGTGATGCGAAATTCTGGCTGCAGCTTGCTGAAGAGCTGGTCGAGCGTCCTGGGCAACTCGCTCCGCAGGGTCTGGAGTACACTTCCCCATGTCTTCTCCAAGCCCCGAAGAGACTGGTGACGCAGAAGACGGATGGTTTCGGAGTCGTCGTTGCGCTCTAGTCGTAACAGGTCGTCCCTGGTGCGTATGAATTGGTAAAGATGTTCTTCGCGAAGCCTTCTTGCCACAGTAGCGTTTATGTCGGCCACCACGAAGTCTCCTAAATCTTCGATAGATTTAGATTCAAGTGACATCATGAGCTTTTGTTCGTGTCATGCAATGATAATTAAGTGTGCGAGTATTTAGTTGGGTAGGTGTATAATGTAGAAATAGTTGCGCTATGGTTGAGGTATAGCTGCCAGCACTCATGCCAAGGTGAGGAGATTTCATGATTGGTATTTATATGTTTGGATAATTATTGGTTAAGCGGTAATTGCAAATATCGATTCATGACATCCAGGACGACAAGTTCTGGAGCTGGCGATCCAGGAGGCCAGGTCAGCGTGAGGGACTGGATCATCCTGGCCGCCCGCTATCCTTCGGATGACATAGAATGCAATGAGTCGAATGAATACGCCCAACTGGAGTGCTCCAACAAGGCAACTGCCAGGTCATCGAAAAGTTCCATCGAATTACGCTGCTGGGTGGCCTCACAGGAGACCATTGTTAGTACCAGTTGTGCTGCGCCGCACAAGGTATGCCTCGAGGTGGGCTGAATTGGACAGATGGACAGGCCGCATGTGTTTCAGAACATATAAATCCCTTGTTCACGACAAAAGTTCCGGCGCTTAGAACTAGGGCATACTTTAATTCATGAAGTAGAAGTTCTCGAAGAGTTTCATTCGCTAATCAAGTTATAGGTTAGAGAATCTATGCACAGAAGTGCGATTGAAGTCAGATCTGCTGTGTACTGATTGATAACAACTAGGCGCTGCTACTACGATATTGCGTTATCGCGCTATTATGTTGCGCATCAGATGAGATATAATACATGTGAGCTCGTAAAAATCGTAAATGGCATGAAGTGTAGAAACTATGCACTTATCACAGGCTATTGAGTGATGCATCGTTAGCAATTTTAAACTTCCCGAAATATGTACTAATCATAACTTCAAAATACTACTTAAATGAGAATTTTCATGATATTAAGACTACTCTTCCCTTAATTCACAGACTTCTTTGGAATAGTCTAGTGTCTCTAACCTTAGGATCTACGACTGGGATCTTCCATACTGCGTGCTTGAGATAGTAATATTGGAGTGTGCCATGAGGGGTCTCCTAGTAAACCTCCCTCCCTACCTCTAACCGCACAAACTACCCACGCCAGAGCTAATAGCTTATAAAAACGAGCCTTTTCTTGTCTCAGAGAAAAGCCCAATACTTATATTCGTCGATGGGCCGCATTAGGACGTGACAGACACCTTGAGAGTGAGGACTAGGGTGCTACTCAACCTAAGAGGCTTCTGAGCGTATTTCAGATGGGGATATGAGGGAACGTACACATACCTTCTGTATTTCTGTTGCTATTCTGTAATAAATAGAAGCCTTTATCGTTTAGTTTTGGATGATTGTCTGGAATTCTCTCGTGGTCTTCCATCAATTCTGTAATAAACTTAGCCGACGCCGTTACAGGATCAGCACTAGGCTGACCGGCCGAGCTAGATAGTCTCTGTATTTCGGCCCTCCGATTCAACCAAATATCGGCTACTGCGAATTGGCTCTTGGCTATGGAAATTACTTGAGAAATCCACTCATTCTGTCTCTCGGATCGCTCTTCGCACTCTGCAGCTTGTGGGTACATTGGAGGTTCCGGTCTGAAAATCAGTAGGCGATATTCATACTCCACGAGGCCATCTCGGTGTCGTTTCGATTTAGATATACAGATCGCGCCGCCGGATCGGTAGCATAACTTTTCCCACATCACTGGAAGGTCCAGACCCCGCCTTGCGGCCTCAGACATAACTTCTCTGAGGCTGTAAAACCAAGGGGTGACAAGAGCTAGCGCGTGATCTTTTGGCTGATTACCACCAATTTCATACCAGGCGTAATCACAGAATTCATGAACAGTTGCGTAATAGCGAGATTTATGGCCAGTAGTCTCGTACCAGTCTTGTCGCTTTTTATGTGCCGCAAAAGCAATCGGGATTAGAAATAGAGCAACCTTGCTTTCCTCGTCCTGATTAATCAAGGCGAGCCATGAAAGATAGAGGCGTGCATTTATAGGATCAGACTGGTCATTGGGAATCTTGGGCTTCACCTCATCCTTCGCGGCGAAATTGCGATCAACGCCGTACAGCTTCTCTCGCACATGTTTTTCTCCAAGAACCGCAATGTCGAACAGTTCAAACCATGCCGGGGGCCAGAGACTGCCCACGACTGGCTGAAAAGAAAGGCTTCCCGGCGGTTGAAGGGTTGTGACAGTTGCAGCAGGTTGAGTCTGTTCTATCCTATTCAGAGTGTCAAAGAGTTTGTCGAGTAGCCTAGTAACAGGATTAATTGCGTGGTTGAAGGCGTCTCGGTACCGACGGAGATATCGTTGTCTAGCTTGGATCGTACGGGCAAAGACAAGGCGAATACATCTACCCAGGAGTGGATGAGGTGAGTCCCAAGTGGACTGGATGAGGGTAAACTAGACCTGTCTATTGCGAACCCGCTCGTACACATCCACATGTTCGAGGCACTCCGTAAGTAACGTAGTAAGTTGGGCGGTGATGTGGGTTTTGCAGTCTTCCACCAAATCATTCGGGCGAAAGGGGGTAAGGGGGGTAAACGCCATATGAACGTCTGGAGAGAGTTCTGCAAATGTGTTTTGGAGAAAGGTTAGGCCTTCAATGCGGCTGAGAGCTATGTCAAGAGTGAGAGAATCCATTTTGGGCAACTGAATATATGGTTGAATGTATGTGCGTGTGCTGATGATGCACGCGCAATGCCTAAAAGGTAATCTAATCTAGTTTGGGCGCTCAACTGAGTCTCTGCTTTGCGTAAGTCAATAGTACGAAGAGAGTGATTGAAAAAGCTGCTACAGCTAAGCTGAACAATATAAAGGCTCTGTGCCATATGAGTGTAAAGGCGCGGGTAGAGGGATTATACTATTGCCTCAATAAACAACAGATAAAACTACTTAGAGGTACCTACCTACATTTTTACCTGTGCCTACCTACATGTAGGTACCTAATGAAGTAGTAACCAGACAACTCGGAACTCGGAACTTCCTTATAAGTTTATTAAAGAACTTGTCCTGGG